GGCGCGCGGCTGCTCTGAGCTGCAGCAGCTGCAGCTGAACGAGCGCGGCCCCGGGAGGGCTAGAAGCATCTCCGACTCCTCCCGCTCCCGCCGCCGCCTCTGCTTTCCCCGCCGGGGCCACCCCGCCCCCGCCGCGCGGGCCCACGTGACCCTGGAAACCATGGCAACCTTTTCGACGGGCGCCGCGCTCCTGCCACTCTGACGGCCGCCAGGCGGAGGACGATGGCAGGCGCGGGAGGGCTGGGAGGCGCGCGCGAGCTGGGAGGCTCGCGCGTGCACTTGCACCGGACTGAGGGCCACCACTCAGCACTCTTCCCTGCGAGGCGCCTCTCACTGCCCCCGAGTCCACACGTCCCAGAGAGAACGGTCCATGCACCACCGTGAACTCACGCAAAACTGTTGTCGCACAAGCTCCCCTGAAACCTAGTGGCATTTTGTTTTCCTCCTAGTTTATTGGTAAGTGTTGTTAATGTCATTTGCTTAAATTTATATCATAGTCCTTGTTCACTTTTGAACCAAAATAATACCTCATCAGTATGACATCTTTCTAGCTTTTCCTTTCACCAGCTTTTTACCCATCCATCCTGTTTTCTTTGCTTTACTGATATTTTTTCACTTGTGCTCTCAAAGCACTTACTACTATGTACTGAGACAACTGCATCATTTATTGTAAGACACCAGTCACTTAGGGATGTCCTTCAAACAATAAATAGTACAACGAATAAAACGTCATGATCGGGACTTTGTCTAATTACGTTTTTATTGTTTATTAAAAACTTTTCCTTATGGTTTTAATGATGCTGAATTATATACTCTTATCTACAGGGAGTTCTGGTGTGGCGCTGTGAGTTAATGCTGTTGTTGTTATGTAGGGTGTAGTCGGTTCCGACTCCTAGCTACCCTGTACAGGGTTTCCGAGGCTGTTGATCTTTACGGGAGCAGAAAGCCTCATCTTTCTCCTTCGGAGCAGCTGGTGGGTTGGTTTGAACTGCAAAGTTGGTTTGAACCAAAAGGTCAGCAGTTCAAGCTCACCAGCCACTCCTTGGAAACCCTGTACAGGGTCGCTATGAATCCACAACAACACACACATAAGAGTGGAGTCCTGGTTTATCTCGGTGGGATAAGCACAGGACCGCATCATGTTGGTTTCAACTATAAGGTCAACGGTTCAAACTCACCAGCCACTCCTTAGAAACTTTATAAGGGTCGCTAAGAATCCATAACAACACATATATAGGAGTGGAGTCCTGGTGTGGCTCTGTAGGATAAGCACAGGACCGCAAGACCGGTTTGAACTACAAGGTCAGCGGTTCAAACTCACCAGGCACTCCTCAGAAAACCACTCTACTGCGTTACTATGAGTCGGAATTGACTTGACGGCACTTGATATATTTATATAGGAATTGTTGATAAGTGCTGTCGAACTGGTTCCGACTCATAGTAACCCTGTATAGGAGCAATTAGAGGGATTTAATTGCCAACCTTGTGGTTTGCAGTCTAGTGCTGATCCTACAGTGACACATCAGGAGTCCATATATAGGAATACAACAATATAAAGCGAAATAGAATAAAAAAGTGTGTTTATAACGTTGAAGTGATTGATTTTTGCTATGACTTAATGCTGTAAGTATCTGCACTTTTGAATTAGAGAAAATGGCCTTTTGCCAAGTAATTGCTGTTTGAATACACTTCATTTCTACTTTGACTCCACATCAGTGTAAATAAAATAATTCAGCAGCAAGCTCATTTAGTCACTTCAGTTTATCTTTTCACCCACATAAGAGTAAACCCATGACTCAGAAAACTCAGACTAAGAGCAAAGATGTAACAAAATAGTCCGCTTATTACTCTATTTCCATGTCTTATAAATCTCATAATAGTGTTATGTTGGTTTCTTAATATACTAAAATGCGAAGTATGAATATTCTGGAACACTTAATTTTGCTCATGAGGAATCTGTACATGGACCAAGAGGCAGTTGTTCGAATAGAACATGGGAACACTGGATCGTTTAAAATTAAGAATGGTGTACAACAGGGTTGTATTCTTTCACCATACTTATTCAACCTGTATGCTGAGCAAATAATCCGAGAAGCTGGGTTATATGAAGAAAAACATGGCATCGGGATTGAAGGAAGACTCATTAACAACCTACAATATGCAGATGATACAACCTTGCTTGCTGAAAGTGAAGAAGACTTAAAATATTTACTGATGAAGATCAAAGTGCATAGCCTTTGGTACGGATTGCATCTCAATGTAAAGAAAACAAAAATCCTCACCACTGGACCAATAAACAACATTTTTATCAATGGAGAAAAGGTTGAAGTTGTCAAGGACTTCATTCTTCTTGGATCAACTATCAACACTCACAGAAACAACAGTCAAGAAATCAAATGACGTATTGCATTAGGCAAATATGCTGCAAAAGACCTTAAAGTGTTGAAGAGCAAAGATGTCAGCTTGAGGACTAAGGTGCACCTGACTCAAGACATAGTATTTTCAATGACCTCATATGCATATGAAAGCTGGACAGTGAATAAGGAAGACCGTATTGATGCTTTTGAGTCATTGTGTTGGAGGAGAATATTGAAAGTGCCATGGGCTGCCAAAGGAACCAACAGATCAGTGTTGGAAGAATTGCAGCCAGACTGTTCCTTGGAGGCCAAGATGGCCAAACTTCGTCTCTCATACCTCAGACATATTGTTAAGAGGGACCAGTTTCTGGAGAAGGATATCATGTGAGGTAAGGTGGAGGGTCAGAGAAAAAGAGGAAGACCTCCATTGAGATGGATTGGCCAAGTGGCAGCATCAATGGACTCAAGCGTTGCAACAATAGTGAAGTTGGCTCAGGATCGGGTAGTGTTTCATTCTGCTGTGCATAAGGCCGCTGTGAGTCGGCACCGACTCAATGGCACCTAACAACAACAAAATGCTTCTAATTTTAAATATCAAACATTTTTAAGAAGATTGTATAAAATACCATGATCTTCACATGCCACTGGTTAGAAAGCAGTATTATTAGTCAAATTATTGATCATATAAGCAGTATTTTCTTTACACGAAAATGGCAGAAAATACAATGGTTTAAATGAGATTGAAATTTCTTTCTAGTGATGCTATAGGATATGCACTGGATGATGAGGTCAGTTTGAACTGCAAGGTCATCAGTTCAAATTTACCAGCTGCTCCTTGGAAACCCTACAGGATCACTATGAGTCAGAACCGACTCAATGGCATTTACCACCAATGTAAATGTACTCAAATCAGAGCTGGTACAGTGGTCATTAGGGAGACGTGTTGTCTTCTGTTTCACTGTTCTAGAATCCTCATTTATGACATCTATCTTATGGTCCTCAATTCTTTTCATCTATATTTCAGCCAAGAGGAAAGTGCAAAAGGAAAAGGGACTCCACCAATACCACACACATATGCCTTTACAGGACATCTCTAGGAAATAAAACACACCAGTTCTTTATATCCTATAGTGTGGTAGATTGCATTTTCCAAAAACGGTTGCAGCAATATCTCCTGTCCTGTTTGCTATATCTCCTCTTGTCCCATCCCTATCCAGACTTGAAGTCTAATCTCTCTTCTCTTGAATCTAGAGGGATCGTGACTGCTGGATAGAATTCATGCTAATTCAGAAGAAGCAAGCCCTGGCCAACAGAACCCAAAAGCACAACAAAAAGGTTGATCCAAGCCTCTAAGTTAGGGAGCTAATTTATACACAGCAAAAAGTAACTAAAACACATGGTCATATGGAAAGTTTAGGGATGTCATCTCTATTTTGAGTAATCATGTGCCTAGCAAGCATGGGACGGTCTTTGTTGTTAAGGTGCCCTCTAGTTGATTCCAACTCAGAGAGACCCTGTATAGGGAGGGTTTCCAAGGCTGTAAATTTTGCAGGAGCAGAATGTCTCATCTTTCTCCCATGGAGTGGCTAGTGAGCTTGAACTGCCGACCTTGTGATTAGCAGTCCAGCATACTTAATCCTACTGCGCCAGAGTGCTCCCATCTGAGAGTTAGGAAGACCAATTATGGGGATTGTTAGCCATGGAGTCCTGGTGTGGTGCTGCAGGTTAATGTGCCAGACTGCAAAGCTGTTTGAACTGTGAGGTCGAATGTTTAAGCTCACCAGCTGCTCCTTGGAAACCCTATACAGGGTCGCTATAGGTTGGAATCAACTTGACAGCACTTAACAACAACAAATCCATGTCTACCCAATGTTTAACATCTTTTCTCCCATGAATGACATGAAAAAAGCGCTGGTTTTCCAAGCAGTTACAAGAACTCTATTCTAAAGTTGGGGTGGTGGTGGTGTACTGTGGAGTCGGTTCCAACTCATAGCGACCCTGCATGGGGTTTCTGAGGCTGTAAACCTTTACAGGAGCAGAAAGCCTCATCTCTTTCCCGCAGAACTGCTGGTAGTTTCGAACTAGCTGACCTTGAGGTTAACAGCCTGACTTATAACCACTACGCTACCAGAACTATGTTCCGAACTGCATTTACTCCTTTTTGTAGGTTTAGTGTCTGCTGACAGGTAGATAGATGGCTTTTTGTCATTAATGACACTAGGGTGGTGTGAATCATTTCTATAGGACCATGGAAGTGACACGACCATGACATGTATTATTAGATTATTCGAACTGTATGGTATCCCCAGGAACCCTAGTGATGTAATGGTTATGTGCTCAGCTGCTATTCAAAAGGTAGCAGTTTGAACCCACCAGCTGCTCCATGGGAGAAAAGAC